TGACAATGCTTATTACTTACGAGATAATTTTTGACCGGTAGCTCAGACAGTGGTGGAGTCCATTTAATGCGTTGTTTCCAGAAATTTCTCTCATCCACTTCTGAATTAACCAGCGACAAGTCACGAGGAGGTCCCGGTGCTCGCGGCTCTGGAATTCATGTTTAATAAAATCATCTGACAGACCTTTGTCAAGCTGTTTCTCTACAGCTCATGAATTTACAAATACATCTCCAGACTTTGGCAGTTTTGAACAATTGTTTTTTCAGGACGCACACACCTTTCGAGAGTTTGAATGGCTGACTGCTTTTTGAGAATCCATTGCTGCCGTGCAAGCTGACTGCTGCTACGCGAAACATGTAGTATCTTCCAGGAGCAAGCAGATGTTTCAAAATAGCGTACATTTTGTTCCTCTGTAACATTTGTTGCCATAATGCAACCTCAAAATGATTTGAAAAGAACTGTTCTTGAGTTTCCGAAAAGGTCATCAAAACGCAGTGTAGCTTTCGATAAACGCAATGTAGCTTTCGACAGCTTTTCGACGTTTCCATGATGATTTGCTACTGGTTCGTATTGTCGCAGAAATCTTGTGAAAAGCTATTAACTGTTAAAAGGGTGTGTTGCGCAGTGTACAGCATCAGAATAAAGTTGCTCCAGCGCAAACAAGTCCGTGGTGTGGCGATCTATCTCGCCGCATCTGGAGGTAAGGATAGGTGGTTTGACTTCTTTTCGATCATAACCATTTTCAAAAAAACTGCTCTGCTCCCTAGCAGTCGTCTTTCTTACCAGTAGTAGGATCATACCAACGCTTCTACGAAATTACTTCGAAAGAAAGAACAATCGAAAGCTCTGCTAGCGGAAAACTCGAGCTGTTTCTGCCTTTTATAGAAAGTGAATAGAGGGACATTTTAACTTCTGAGTGCAAAGTCATTCACATTTGTCACTCTGCCTACATCATTTTCTACTAAATTCAAGGCCGAATAAAATCAAATTCAAAACCACCTGTTTGTTACGATTATTATTTACTTTTTTAAAGCAAAAAAGCATACAGTCATAATTGTTTGCCAATCGCTCATCGGTTCGCCATCCTTGTGAAGGCTCCAGCGCCATTGCAGCACGTACAAGTTTGAGTTAGTATCCGTTTGAGAGCGACTCATTTGTTGAATTACCCAGCGAACAATCACTGATCTAACATGAAATACATAATGTGTTAAAACACTCAAGTTCACTATAGTCGACGAAGGGAAGCAAGGGCATATATGACTACAAAGAAATTACGTAAACCGTTTTTATGCGTTTTGTGCTGTGTAACAGCAGTACAAAACGCATATTGTTACGGGGTTGTCTG